TGCGCGGTCAGCTGGCAGAGTGGCGGCGGGCGCTGGGGCTCGAATCCGCAGCGCTGGCTCGGCGCGAGCGCACGCTGGGTTTGGCTCCCCGGGGAGCTGGCCAAGCGGACGCACTTCCCCGGCCCAGTCACGCGCGCCGAAGTGGAGGCGAGGCTGGGGGCATGGGCCGGCGAGGGCACTGCAGGGGGAGCCGCGCTGGGGGCGCTCTCTTTCCTGTGGCCCGCAGGCGGCGCGGCGGCCACCGGTGGCCTGGGCTACCGCGCGGCCCATGGCGTCCTGCTGCAGGCGCTGGACGAGATGCTGGCTGATGCGGAGGCAGTGCTGGCACCCCATGCGCCTGCTCAGTGAGAGGTGGGATGAAGGCCAGGGCCACCGGGGTGCTCCGCCAGGGGCTGAGGACTCCAAGTCCGGTTTAGAGGGAGGGGTTTAGGGGTCCGGACTCTGGCCTGGGGTGTCTGGGCCTCAGATAACAGAGCAAGTGTGTCGCCAATCCGAATCCTGGATGCTTGAGGGGGTTGAGCCTGGCTATTGGTTGGAATATGTGACTTCTAGTCACCCGGATTCCTAGGTCTTGGAGGGGAATCGAATCTGGGAGTCAGGACTCCTGATTTCTCTGGGGATCATGGGGCAGGACCCCTAGCCGTGTGTCCTGAAGGGAGTTGAGCAGTTGGACTCTAGAAGGGAGTAGAAACTGGATGTCTTGGACATCTAGTCCTCCAGGGGTAGGTGGTGTGGAAGCCCTGATTCCTGGTGAGGGACTTGTCTGTGGTAATGGGGGTTCCAGAATGGAGGAAGGGATCCGGGTACTCCAGGGAGCTGGAACTCCTGGACTTCTAAGGCACAAAGGGATATGGGGTGTGGGCTTTCTAGGGGGAAAGATGTAGTGGGCTGTGAGCCTTCATGGGGGGAAGGGCAGGCTCGGGGGCTCAGACTCCTGGCTCCCAGGAGGGCTGTGGACCATGGTTCCTAATTCCTGGGTGGTGGGAGGTCTGCATCTGAGGAGGGAACAGGGCTGTGTGACAGAACTAGAAACCCTCCGGTCTCTCTTAGGGAGGAGAGAGATGTTCAGTATTTGCTCCTGGGGAAGGGGGACCCCAGCATTTGTGGGGAGGATGGCCACACAAAAGTGAGGGGAGGAGGTAAGGGGCCTGGCGGGCTCTGGGGGGTGGCCAGGCACCAGGAATGGGGCTTTCTGGCAATGGAAGGGCAGGAGCCCCTACCTCAGAGGTATCTCCTGCAAACCCCTGATGGGTTTGGGTTCTGGAAACTCCCCTCTTTGTGACTTTGGGAAGGGGTAAGCCGCCCCCATTCATAGTGCTGGTGAGTGGGAGCTCTCTGGGCAGTCTGTCCTCTGTCTATTCCTCTCCTTTAGTGGCTTCTAGTTTTGGACTTGGTTTCTGCTGTCATTGAACCTGAACCCTTCCTGGCCTTGGTACTTTTGTACATCTGCCTTTGTGGAGAAGCAGCTGTACTGCTGCACTAATCCAGACCTTCCTGTGTTGGCTCCCTGGGTGTACACAGAGAGTGCCGCAGTGAGCAAGGGACCCAAAGGACAGCTGGGCAGGTGTTCCAGCCTGTGGGGATGGGCCACAGTGAGGCAAAGGCAGATCTGTATGCCTGGGATGTTTTAGGCTGCACCTGCATGCAGAGGAGCAGCCACAGGGCACAGAATTCTTCAGTGTCGAAAACAGCAAGTGTGTGTGGGGGGGGGAGACCAGCAAGGGGGACCCGAGTAGAACCACTTCTGTGATAGTCGGGGAGAGCAAAGCTCAGAGAGGGCGGATTCTAGGCCCCACAGCACACAGAGAGGCTGTGTGGCCTGGCCCCTGCCTTTTCTCATTGCCTCACCCCATCCCCCAACCAGCTTGCTCGATCTTCCTTCTGATGCTTGAGTGGGCGCTCTGGGGCCCTGCCTCAGGACCTGGGAACTTGTTCATTCTGCCTAAAATTTCCATGAGTGGCTCCTTCTGTCAATCAGGTCTCAGCTCAGATGTCCCCTCAGAGACCTTCCCTGATCACTCTAACTGAAGTAGCTCACCCCTCTCCCCCCCTCAAATACTCATCTCAGCTGGTCAATTTTCCTTGTAGCCATTATTACTGTAGAAAATTATTTATTTATTTACCCATTATTAGCTATTATCCCCTTGTCTGTCTTGTTCTATGCTGTACCCACAGCACCCAGAAGAGTGCTTGACACACAGTAGGTGCTTAGTAAATATTTATTACTTTAATTTATTAGTCAGTGGCAGAACTAGGACTGGAAATGCAGATTGTCAGTCTCTTGCCACAAGACAGGGAAAAGGATTGAGATGAGGAGAGGAAGTGCCTGTCTGAGGTCAGGGGACCTGGGAAGCAAGCACAGCTTTGCCACCGTCACCCTGGGTGACTTGGACCAGTGCCTTATTCTCTCATCTGTGAAATGAAAGTGCTGGATGACAACCATAACTGAGGTCCCATTTCCTGTGACAGCTGAAGACAAGGCTAACTGATCTGAGGGGCAGATGCTTGAGGGCTGGCTCTCCCCCACTCCCCCACCTCCAGCTTGAACTCCCACCACTAGCACAATTTGTCCCTTTCAAGTGGAGATGGTGGAGATGGGAAAAAGCATTTGGCTCTGTACAGAATGGCTCCAGGCATTGTCAAAGCTCTCAGTCTGGGGAGAATACAATTCTATAGTATAGCTCTAGGATCAGATAGTCCTGCTGACTTTGGGGGTGACCTGGGGCAAGTCACTCAGCAAATGGTGTCTACCTTGCAGGGTTATTGTGAGAATTCAGTGTATATGTAGGTACATGCATTCTCTCTCACATGTCAACATACTGCACCCCCTCCCCCCACCCCCTGAGAAGCCTGGCACACTGGGAGCTCAAGAGGTAGTCTGGTTGCCCTTGCCCACATGCCCCCAGCCCCGGGCAACATCAAGATGACTCTATTCTGGTTACTTTTGCTCACAGACTGCCCTCTTTTTCTGTCATTTTGACGCCATCTCTGATTTGGTCCTGTCTGACATCTCTGCTCTCTGCTCCAGATTCCCTTTGCCCGTATGCCAATGGGGATCATGCCAGAGATCATATCTGAGAAAGCAAGACCCAGTTTTGTTTGCGTGTGTCTCTGTTGTTGGTGAGTGCTGGTTGTGTTACTGTATATAATTGTATATTGGTACTCTCAAGTGTCACAACTACCTTTTGGAGTGGTTGCCTTTTAAATCGTGACTTTTGATGGCATTTGACTTTTAGACTTTGTGGAGGCATAACGTTGCTAGTTGACTCAGAAAAGACTGTGTCTCCCTGTGGACAGATCACTGGCTGCCATGGGGGTGTGTCTACGTGGCACCTTCAGCCCGGAAGACCCTCAAAGGCAAGAATTCAAGAAAATGTATGATGAATCTCCGTGTTGCCATCTGCCAGAAACAGAATGGGCACAAAGAACTTGCGCATTGATCCCATCTCAGCACCTTAGCTGAGTTTCCTACATTTCTGGATAATGATGGAAGGACTTGTCCATTGGGGTGGAGAACCATGGAAGGGTGAATCGAGGGTGTGGCTGGCCTGTGGTGCTTTTTGGAGGAGTGAATAAAGATGAGTAGAAATGCCATTCTGTGTCTGTTCTTTTGGGATTTTAACTGGAGCTGGAAGCCTGGACTTGTGGGTCTAAGGGAAGAGGGAGCCAAGGCTGGGGACTCCTGGGTCCTGGAAGGGGAAGGACAGTGGGGGTTCTGTACAGGAAAGCTTCCCTTGGGCTGGAATCAAGAGACTATCTGGCCCGGCCAGCATGGCTCAGTGGTTGACCATCGACCTATGAAACAGGAGGTCACAGTTCCATTCCCAGTCAGGTTAGGGCACATGCCTGGATTGCGGGCTCGATCCCCAGTGTGGAACTTGCAGGAGGCAGCAATCAATGATTTTCTCTTATCATTGATGTTTCTATCTCTCTCACCTTTTTACATCCTCTCTGAAATCAATAATATATATATATAAATATATATATATATATATATATATATATATATATA